GAAAAAAAAATAAAAATGTTTCGTTTCTTAGCTTCTCGTTCTCGTTATTCACTTCGTATATCGCTTATATCTGGTGAATACCAAAATTAACTTATTAATAATTACCATTCGAGCCTTTCCATTGACCTTTTTCAGCTTTAAGTATTGAATGAAAAATTAATTATGCTACAAACGCGGGTCAATTTTAAAATATTTACCTTTAATTTTGGGTGCAGGCGGTTTAGGCAAAAATCTTTCAAGTGGTAGTAGTTTGTCTTCACCAATATAAACTTTATCATTTGGTTTAAATGATGATGCTACAATGCCTTCTTGAAGTTTGACGGTAAAATAGACCTCATTCATGGGACCAAGAATTTCATCTACTTTGCCGATCGATTGCTTATTCTCTAAATATATCGTAGCGTTGAAATATGGTATTTTTTTATTTGTCGAAAGGCAAACCATGTCGCCTTCGCAAGCATGAAGGAAAGTACCCATCTCTTAAAATCGGACAAAAAGTCATTAAATAAGATTGTTTATGTTAATTAAAATTTAGCAGTAACAATAGGTTTACCTGCAATTTTGTCTGGAGGTCCTGTTGAATGTGTAAAAGAGTTATAACCTATTAAAAGTATTGATCTTTTTAGTAGGTCGAATATATTTATATTTGGTATAAATTTGACAAATTTGGTGCAATTACCACTCGGCTTCACTCCATATCCACGTTTCCCTCGCCCTCCACGACCTTTAAACATTTTTTTTAGTCGATAAGTTAAATAATCTGCCTTTTTATATCAGTATCGGTATGTATATGATAATCATTTTTCACATCATGTGACAAGGAAAATTTTTTATAAAAGTGCTTCCGCCTGTAAACATTGATTGATCAATTGACGATATGCCGGGTTTCGATAATGCCAGACAATTTCCACAATCAATAGAAGATATTGATTACTCCGATATTGAAGAGGAATATCAAGTTCCGTTTGAAGAAGGATTTGATACGATTATTGTAGTGGACAACGCGCCAATTGTTGACGAGAGTAAAAAAGAAAAATTGTTGAAATTTATCAGAAAAATTTTCAAGAATGTTGGTAACATCAAAGAGGGAGGAATTTATATGCCAATGGATCCTGATCCTAAGACTGGAAATCCAACTTCAAAAGGGTAAATATTGAATAAACTTTTCGCGAGCTTTGTAAATTATAAACTTGTTCTACATTATAAATCGGGTTATTATTTAACTTTCAGGTATCTCTTCATTGAATTCGAAACTCCAGAACAAGCAGCGATGGCCATAAAACAATATGATGGTTATCCAATGGATAAAACTCATCTTCTTGCAGTGAACCGATTCACAGATATTGAGAAATATTCCCAGATTGAAGAAGAATATAAAGAACCGGAAGAAGAAAAATTTGTAGAAAAAGTATGTTATCATGTAAATCTATTCTATTCATAATTCCAAAAATTCCAAATTAATATTTATGTAATTAACAGGAACATTTGAGAAGTTGGCTTACTGATCCTCAAGCTCGTGATCAGTTTGTACTTTATCGTAGTGATGATGTGTTCATATTTTGGAACAAAAAGACAGAACCACCCGAAGAAGCCCATAAGAGAGTAGTAAGTACATATCATGTAATATCAGAGTTTACTTTGCCAAAATCACATGGTTTTTTTTTTAAAAAAAAAATTTTTATTTCATCTTACAGAATTGGACGGAAACGTATGTCCAGTGGTCGCCTCTAGGAACTTATCTTGCGACGTTTCATCGTCAAGGCATTGCATTGTGGGGTGGCCCAAGCTGGAACAAGATAATTCGATTTGTACACTCAGGTGTCAAACTTATAGATTTTTCACCTAATGAAAAATATCTTGTTACATGGAGTAACGAACCGATTACTCTTGGACCTAATGGAGGAGCGGGTACGCCTTTTGGTACTGATGATGAAGGTCGTCAAATTATTATTTGGGATGTTCATGGTGGTAATCTCCTTCGATCATTTTTATCGTCAACATTATCCCCTGATGGGACACCTAATAAAATTACATGGCCAATGTTCAAGTGGTCATCATCTGATAAGTACTTTGCCAGAGTAACGCAAGGACAACAAGGACAGCAAGGACAACAAATACTTTCGGTATATGAAACACCTAGTATGGGGCTAGTTGGTAATAAAAGTATCAAAATTGAAGGTTTAGTTGATTTTGAATGGGCTCCTGCCTCTGATAAAGAAAAGGAAAGGGATAAACATTCAGGAGATAAGAAGCAAAGAGAGGAACTCCTTAGTTATTGGACACCAGAAATTGGAAATCAGCCTGCTCGTGTGACCTTATTGAACATTCCATCGAAAGAAATTGTACGAACAAGGAATTTAGTTAAC